CCAAAAAAAATCTTCGCCCTCTTAGGCGTTAAATCGTGAATAGTCACTTAGATAAATGTACTACATTCCCATGGCCAAGCTTAGAATTGTAACGAGAATTTACATGTAGTGTAGAAATTAATTATGATTGCATTTTCACCAGTTAGACCAATCTGCTGTTCGAAGAATGCTCCATGCTGGTGGAGTGAACAAGAAAACGTTAAAAAAGAAACATAAAATTGAGAAAGCAATGGTAACGTTAAAGGTAATTAGCCACATATCTGTAGAAGATAACCAGTCAGAGATGATATTTACTTAATAATACAAAACGCAACCGCTTACAATTTTTTTTCCTTTAAAATAATTATTGGTAGCAGTAGGAGAGCCTGCGTTCCCCTCAGCGTCCCTCCTGGGGAGGATTGAAGACTGGACGCGAGAAAACGGTAGAGATCATTCCCAAAGTCAGTTTATTTCAGGATAATGTTACTCCATAACCTCTTTTTCAGAAACAAAAGAAGAAACAAAGAAATCCATCGGCTGTAAACTTTTCAGCTCTTCACCTCATCAATGACCCTCAGGGTAAAACATAAAAACATAAAAATGATAATGTGTTTAACAATATTTTAACATTGGAAGGTGTTAAAACACCTCTCATACAGCTGACTGCAAATCTTTTTCCCTATTGTAAAGTGCTCAGCTAGGAAATACAACCGAGCAAGGGTTTCAACAACCTCTTTCTTACCGGTGGTGTTACAGGCGTCCGTACCCTGAAAAGGAATCATGGGGTGAAACCCAAACACGTAAAAAAGTAAAAAAGTAAAACTAGCGAAAATCGTTAAAACGGCCGAAACGCACAAACTAGCTACATTTGGTTAAACGGGTTAAATCAGACGAATTAGCCGAAATGGTTAAAACGGCCAGAACGCACAAACTAGCTGAATTTATTAAACTGGTAAAAATGGTCAAACTAGCCGGAGTGGTTAAAACGGTCAAAGCGAACAAACAAGCTAAATTTGTTAAACTGCATGGTAAGAATAGTCAATGAACTTATACGTCCCAATGACCCAACTGCCTCAAATGACCAAACCAACTCAAACGACTAAATTGCGATGTCCAGCCACCCTTGTGGACAAAGGTCTATTTTTCGTTTGCTAAATGAAATTTGTTGTTAAACAAAGCTTGATGAACTTCTCATATTATGCACAGGTTTCAGTGAAAGGCTGTTTAAGCAGCTTGAATCATCAACGGAACGATTTGAAGTGAAACTGATGATAATGGACTTGATATCGAGACTTGTCGGGATTCATCAGGTAAGTAGGACACGTTGTGCGCTTGATCTGAACCAAACCAAAGCAAACAACATATTCTGTGCTCTTTGATTGGTCCAGAAAACTCGCGTCACTCTCAACCAATCAGATGCAAAACTAAAACCAATCAAGATTTGGTCACCCGCGTTTTCGCGCGCTTTATGCACTTTGGTTGGTTTAGTCTGAGTTCTCATTGGCTATGTAAGGTATTTCCTGTTTTGTGATTGCTGTTTTGATTATCTTGGTTTTTGGTTTTACGACACTCAACCGAAAAGTGCTCTAACGACACTTAATCCAAATGCGTTCTGTCGAGCCAGTTCCGAATTGTTTATTCTTTTACTCCCACCACTTCTTCATCACCCTTATCGTACCTTGCTTAAATTTTCAGCCAAGACAATTTGATGTAAAATCGAAACTATAACGCCTTACTATTGTTTCTTTCCTATCACCACATTTTTGTTAAATTGCTTCTTTTTTATTCTGTTCACTGTTAGCTCTTTTTGTTCAACTTTTATCCTTTCATTCAACGATATTTGCAGCCACATCAAAGAGGTAACTTGTGAGAACTTTGTTATTCTCTTTGATAAACATGTAGGAATTTTATCTTTGATTGTAAATAGAGTTAAAAATAGCATGAAGCGACTAGCGATATCATAACTCACCTTCGATGGGATGTTAGTACATCTTATATGATCGGAGAAGGATCAGGTTTTGAAGGCCTCGTTACTTCACTCTCACATAATCGACCATAGTGTCGCCTTTTTCTCTTTAGCAGCTCCACCTCCATCATGTTAATTGAGCCAAAAATGGCCAATTACCCAGACCAATACTCTGTCTTCCGTCTTCCTAATCTCTTTGTATTTACCCTTAGTCTCCAATTCATTTCGTTTTGTTATTCTCTTAGTTATGCTGTAAATTTGTTGTCACGATATATAGGTCTATACAAACACACTATTTTTATTATTCTACAGAAGTGACCAAACTCCTGACCTACTTTGCCCAGGCCTGTCATGATCTGGTTCCTCCAGAGGTTTGTTGATATGAGCATTTAAACCTTGAGTTAAGTACCTTTATGAGAAATAACGTTAACAACAGGACAGCTCCTGTTGCATATCTTGAGATATTTCGATTCGGATAATTTTTCTATTATTAAATGGTAGCTGGAAAGGAAGTTTGTTTTCCGGGACGTTTGCATCATGGATAAATTCAATCTTATGTCCCCTACTGAGAGCGGAAAACTTGGACACTACTTTTGTCAATGAAAAAAGATGGAACATTAGAGAATGCCTGGTGCAAATGTTTGGGACACAACCTTCCTTTCCCGTGTGAAACTAAAATAACTTTGGTCGAAATCACATATTCCAGCCAACACCTTGATGGTTTTCTCTCTTCCCAGAAGTTTCTCTTGGTAACTGAGGTCAACGTAAAAACCTTTCATGAAGTGATATCTCTTTGTTATCGACCAACTGCACAAAGTAGAGAACAGATGTGGTGCGATATTGTACAGTTGGTCCTTTTGCATTATAAAAAATCCTGTTTAATAAGTCGGCTGCTTGCGCTGCGCTTTTCTATCTGCTTTCTTCGCGCAGAGTGCCTTATGAGAAGTGAGCCTAAGATAAAGCAGTTGGATAATAAATAGCTTATTAGAGACATTATGCAGTCATGTAGATTATTTGTTTTGGTACACATCTGGCTTTGGAAGAAAATTCAAGATTGCTCTTTATTCAGTGTCTTATTTATTCAATTCAGTAGATTTATTTTTATGTTGGTTTTTTTATTAATCTATTTAGTTTTGTTTATAAATATGCCCCTCTAAAGGAGTTTATGTTGCTCTATATATTTATTAGCGAGTTTCCTTGTCTGTTTGTTTGTTTTTTTTTTTAATAGGTTATCGAGTCAGGTTTGAAAGCGATTGTAAATAATTTTGTTACAGAAAGGAATTCTAACGAAGTAATGGCGGTTGGGTGAGTGTGATTGTTATGGGGAGCGTTATCTCAAAATAATGTCGCTATCTAGACGTGTTAAGAAGACATTTTTTTGACAGACACGTGCAGTTGTTAAATCGGAACCTACTCCCAAGGACTAGAGTAACAGAGGCTCCAAGATTGAGCTGCAGGGCATGAGCCCAAGCCCTAGACTGAACCAAGACTTAAGTGTGTCTACTGAGAGGAATGGGCCGTCCTTACCTTGACATTGGTCAATATTTAAAGGTTTTAGTCTTTCCGGGGGGGAGCGAGAATAGGTACCACCTTTTGTATCCCTGCGATCAGCAGAGAACGTTTTAGGCGACAATTAGAAGGGTGTGAACTTCCCTTTCCATTTATATCGATGTCGGAAACCAAGCAGATTAAGTTAAGCATTCGTTCAGTGTAGATGGACGAAAATTAGGACGAGCGGAAAACGGCGAGGGTCTAAGAGAGCGACTCGGCCATTTTTTCCTCCCAGGCTCCCGCCACTTTTCAATCGCCCCTTCTTCTTTCTACAATTAACATACTGTACCCTTCATGCAGTTTGAACGCTGTTCGTGAAGTTTGTGCAAGGTGTCCTTTGGTAATGACAGACGAGTTACTTCAGGATTTAGCGCAGTACAAGACATCTAAAGACAAAAGTGAGTTTTCTTTTAAAACACATCCCTCTCCATTTAAGACCTCTTTTCTCGCATGTTATTTAGGTGGTTTGAAACCACGTAGACCTTGTGGATTATCGTTCCTGTCAACCCTTTACTCCTAGAAGTGATTAACATGTAACTTCTCTCTACAATATCCATACATTATCCCGCAAACATGTTATGAGAAGACCCAAACTTACAGGTAGTTGTTAGCTTGATCTGACACTAAATTCTCGTACCTGATATACAAAGAAATATGTCGCAGCGAGGGAGGAGAAAAACAAAGTAAGATCCTGTAAGTTAGAGGGTTATCTCCTCGCGAACTGCTTTGTTATGTTTTTCAATACAAAACTGTGAGATTGGATTTGTCTTTCACAGGTGTTATGATGGCAGCGCGATCGCTCATTCAACTATTCCGGTCCGTGAATCCAGCACTTCTTCACAAGAAAGACAGGGTAAGCAAATAATTATGTGCTCAAAGGAAGATGTTATTGGTCAAGAGGGTGGAAAAAAATGTATCAGGTAAGGTTACTTACTTGTTTGGGTTTTTTTTTTTCGTATTAAATAAGGGAAAACCAACAGAAGCAAGTAAGGAGGTGACAGTGAAGCAGTATGGAGAGCTTAAAACAACAGACTTCGTTCCAGGGACAGAGGTAAAGTGTTTCACATAGATGGAGTTACAGATTATTGAAACTCGCGTCTCATCTTTGGTACTGTAGCTTAAGATTACTGCGAAACCCTCAAGACCTTAAACAGGGATCGATTGAAATACACAAGGACTTAAAGGCATGGTATTCTTGTGGCTCACACGAGTACACTGCAAAAAGAGACGAAGTGATGTTAGTCATCCACACAGACTTGACCCGTCTGATGTACACGCTACCTCACAAGCTTCACAACTATGTAGCTTAGCCACACTCGCCCCTCCTTTGGGCTCTTTACTTCAGTCTTGTGATGCCTGCTAAATCTTGTACCCTTTACCCCCTGACATCATCATTATACATTTTCAAAATACTATTCTCTATACATTTCCTGAGGTGCTTGCAAGCGGAACTTGTTTAACAATCAAGAGCTCCTTTTGTTGGTGATCATTTCCTTTATTCTCCTCACCTTAATGGTGGGTCAGGGGTCCTGTTGCGAGGAGAAATTAGATGCTAGTCACTGTTAGGGTCAAAGGGTTAAACTGACCCCCTCTATAAGATTTTTTTTTTCATCAAAATTATTATCGAAGGTTCTCTCCCCCTCCCCCCTCTTTTCTCTGCGATATTTTACCTCGAAGGCAGGACGCCCCACTGTTTTGTCACCTGATTGTCATTCTGGCCTCGCGGCGTGATTGGATAAGTGATGTAAACAACAACGCAATCCTTTAATTGTAATAGGCACTTGATGACGAACAGGATGGAGAGAAGCAAACCAACAACGAAAACCAAGGTAAATTTGATTTCTTCAGAGATCCTGAGTGACAGAGATCCTGAGTGACAGAGATCCTGCGTGACAGAGATTATGCGTGACTGAGATCCTGCGTGACAGAGATCCTACGTGACAGTGAACCGGCGTAACATGGCTTATTGTTTCTCGCTTCCTCTTAGGAAAATCTTAGCGATGGAGAGGGAAGTTTTGGGGGGGTGGTAGCGTTAGGTTCACGCCTAGAAGCGTACCACTAAAACCAAAACAAAAAGGAGGAACAAGAAATGATAATAGAATACAGAGAAAGACAAAAAAAGAAGGAAGGCTGTTTCAGCCTTTGTATAGCATAGCTAACGTGATAGCTATGGGTTTCCACAAAAAGAGATGTAGAGATCTAGATATCTCTAGAGACGCTGTGAGTGCTCTTACAAGCGCTGTAATAGATTATAAATAATCAATTTTATTCACAGAGGGTTACACGTAACAGTATTTCAACTGAAGAACAAATAGCCCTCTATCCTAAATCTAAAATACACTAGACAATATGGATACACTATAGATATGCTACACAAACAATAGTCTCCCTTTGGCGCGAAAATATGCACTGACATTTGTCTGCGGACATCATCTGTTCCGAGATGCGAACAGTTTTCCTCGAGCTTCGCTCTCCGAAAACTGTGGGAAAAATTTTTACGGACAGCTTACCGTTTACCGCACGAGATGTTCACGCGGTAAACGGTAAGGTAGGACTCTGAATAAACAAACAAGTCACTTCTTCTTCTCTAACAACCACAAAACGCTCTGAAATAAATTTTTGAACGAGGACTTATCGTAGTGGAAGGTTCGAAAATTGGGGAATACTATTTGGGGTATATTCTCATATATTCTTCAGTTTTAGCTGGAGCAGATTCGGTCACGTGAGGCGTGTGGACTAATCACGCACGAACAAAAATATTTGAAGGATCATAAATAAATTTAGTATAATTTCAGAGC